CAATCAAAGGAAGGTATCAATCTATGCCAACGAAAATACGTAATAGATTTGCTATCTAAAGCTGGTAGTTTTATTGCTCGTCATGTTGATATCCGTATGAATTCTACAGTCAAGTTAGATTTTGATACTGGGAAAGTTTTTGATGACATAGGGTGTTTTCGGTGATTGGTTGGTAAATTGATTTACCTCACAGATACGCTTGCTGATATTACATTTGTTGTTGGAGTAATTAGTCAGTTTATGAATGCTCCTTGCAAGCCTCATTGGGATGCTACTTGTTGTATCCTTCGGTATTTTAAAGGAGCACCCGGGAAAGTATTATTATATCGCTCTTCACCATGTATGACTATTGTTGGCTTTTTTGATATTGATTAGACAAGTAGTCGTATTGATAAATGATCTATTTTGGGTTATTGCACTTTTGTTGGTGGTAATCTTGTTACTTGGTGTAGCAAGAAATAGAATGTAGTTACATTTTCTAGTGTAGAGGCAGAATATTGGGCTATGACTCACATGGCGTGTAAAATGTTGTGGGTACGTGCTCTACTTCGTGATTTGGGGATTAGTGTCTTCTCCTATACAGATGCATTTTGTTCATTAGGTAGTTATTTTCATTGGTAGTAATCCAGTGTTTTATGAGCGCACCAAACACATAGAACGAGATTGTCATTTTATTTGGGATTTTTTAACGCAAAAGGAGATTATCACTTCATATATCAGTCTAGTGATCAATTGAGTGATTGTCTCGCGGTGTACCTTTAATAACCTTTGTTCCAAGTTGGGCATTTTTTATTTTTATGCTCCAGCTTGAGGATGAATGTTAAAAGTTCTTATTTTTATGTTTTATATTTATGTAGGGTAATATTGTAGTTACCCAAGATAGGCTTCAATATAAATAAGAGAGTGGAGGATAACACTGCTCACAGTGTATTATTAGTCACAGTGTAGGACTCCCCTTCTGTTCTTTACTCTGTCTTTCTCTTAATCTGTTTAACCTTAACATTATTTTTACTGTTTCAGTTGTTATGGGTATTGTTCTAACATGAGTTATCTATATAAATAGGGCTGGTCTGCTTCATTCAAGGGTGAACCAGTCATGTTTCTTTTCCAATCCCAACAACCTCAATGATGGGAAGATTGCATTTTACATGCTTTGCAAAATTCAAAGGAGTATGGCGTACAAATTCAGATTTTTGAATTTGATGTTGAGATGGAACGAGAAGAATTTTTGGATTGGATGGATATCATCGAAAGTTTTTTCGACGGGAAGGAAGCACTTGAAGAAAAGTAGGTGAAACTTGTTGGAGTAAGGCTAAGAGTTCCAGCTTCTACTTGGTGGATGCACTATCGGAATGATCTTCAAGTGAGGATAAAACGAAAGGTTAGGAGATGGGACAAGATGAAAGAGAAACTGAAAGCCTTGGGCCTATGAATTGTATCAAAGGCAGCAGACTTTGCCAGAGTGTGAGATCATTGTCAAAGTGTATACTTAGGAGTTCCATAGGCTATCCTTGAGAAGCAACCTTGCTGAAACAGAGTCAAAGGTTTAGCCGATATGTTGATGGTCTTCGGTTATCCATACAAGACCAAGTGAGCTTTTAAGGTCCTTACAAAGTCTGATGCTTATCAGCTTGCACTAAAAGCCGAGGTGTAACTTAATCGTGGGTCCTCTAAAAAGTCCATGAATGGTCAAAACAGTGGTCCATCAACTACTATGGCAACTAATGCCACTCGAGGTGTACAGACTATAGCACCTGCTCATCATAACCAACAAACAAACACCACTCTTGGTAGAGCAATCCAAAAACGGAAGAAGACTTGTGGAAATTGACCAATAGGTATTATAGATGTTTTGAATTGGGCATAAAGCCAATGTATGTCCAAAAATAGGTGAAGCTCATGTTGATCTTTTTGATGATTAGAGAGTGGAATTTGAGGCAAATTTTGCAAATATTTAAGATGCAAATAACAATTGTAAACTTTTGAAACAAGTGATGTGAGGGAAGAAAGACTTGAATGTTATTTGATTGAGGACATACTTGTCGTTTATCATCCATGCTTACACCACTTTTCAACGGCAAGGCTGATTCGGTGCACAAAAATCTCTTTAGAACATGATGTGTAGCGAGAGGAAAACTTTGGAATCTTATTTTTGGCATGGTGTCATCATTCTTAAATTGGGAAAAACTTTAGCACTTTTGTCATGTTGATGCATTGAAATTATTGAAACATGATAGTTGAAGTTTTATCAGAGTGATTTATAGGCAAAATCGACTTGGGAGCATATGCTTTTTGTTTCCATACAAGCTGGTATCTATACCATATAAGCATCGTTGTCAAATCTTGTATCGGAAGACGTATTATTTTTTAAAAATAGTGTATGGTATCGTATCATGTATCGTATATCGTAAGATACGCGTAATTTTAATTTTTAAATATTTATTAATAAAATATATGTATATACCTTTATAAAAAAAAATCATAAATTCATAATAACATAATATTTCATTAATATTCTACCAACTATTCATGTTTCTAACATAGTTCAGTAATATCAAAATGTAAAGAACTTTAATTCAAAATCCTAACATCAATTGCTTGAACAATTTTAATATTAATCAAGAATTTTGAATTTAATTGAACAATATTAACATTAGATTTTATTTATTTTTTTTAAACTATAACTACTGAAACGATGTTGTTTCACTAGTTAGTGACTTAAAATTAAGTCATAGGGTAAAATAATGTAATTTCAACCCAAAAAAAAAATAAAAAATAAAAAATAGAATCGTCACGTGTCGGGTGTATCGTATCGTACGTATCGTATTGTGTATCGTACGATATGGTGTAAAAACGATACAGAGACACGATATGTATCGTTTTCAGGTGTATCATGACGTATTGTGTGATACATATCGCGTATCGTACGATACTAATAACTATGCATATTAGATTCGATTATCATATATTAAATAATGATATAGGAATGTTGGAGGCATATCAAAGAAGAGTAATAAAATATTTTGCCATTGAGATTATAATCCATTAATGTTCCTTTATTATCAGCTGAGAATATGAATGAGCATAATTAAAGGACTGATTTGAGTCATTACATTGATTTCCCATGTGCACAATATGTATGGGATTTCACATGATTGATTGCTTTAACTATGCAACTGGTTATTTTATATTCCGATTTATATAATTGGTGTAACTATATAAACCCAACAAGGGTCCTATGTATTGTATGCAGTTCTAGAAAGTTGAAATAGTAACAGTAATATGAGGTTAGGGTTATAAGAGAATAAGAGGAGAGAAAAAAATGAGAGAATAATCAATGTATGGCTAGGTTGTCCTACACTCAACCTCTACAGGACGTATACTTCGTCAAGGTCGACATACCCGTATTGGATACCATACAGGATAAGATACTTGTTAGATATTCGAGGATACTATTGGATACTCATCATACGTATCCGATAATTAATAAAATGTGGATGATTCACGAATATTTCTATACATGGAGCAAGATGTGTAATTTTTAATTTTAATCTATAACATTTCCTTTCAAGTTTACATCCAAAACAAAATATCAACAAAATTCGATTTGACTTTGAAAACACGAGTATTTTTAAAGTATTATCTACTGTAACATGTCAAAAGAGTATAAAAAAATGAGTTAGTTTCACTATAACCTTAGAAACAAATACTTGTAAGTAAACTAACTAATTAAATGTTGGTTCTAATTCCTTTAATTGATCACGTTCACTTTATGAATATATTATAATAAGATGGTATTACACATTTTTCAAGGTAAAAGTTGCTAATTTTGTTTACTATTATTAAAGAATTACTAAAAAATTATAATTTTAAAGTTGTTTAATAATGTTAAAATATAAAATATATTTTAATTATAAACATATTTCGACCGTACTTGTATCTTTTTTTTAAGGTTTTGTCGTATCGCCGTATCTGTATCGCATTGTATTTGTATCCTGTATCTATCTTTGTGCTTCCTAGCCACCAACAAATGTACAATTACTAGGAGGAGATTATATATCACCATGACTACTTGTCCAGTCAATGTCTAAAAAATCACTTCGGTTATGGATGATGATGAACAATATAACAATCCTTTCTCCGAAGCTCATTTTAGATATCGAAGTATATGACAGAAAGTCTCTTAATGAGGCTTACGAGGAGCATGCATAACCTGACTAGCTACACCAACAACATATATAATATCAGGACGTGTAACTTTAAGGTAAATCAACTTATCAACCAACCTTGGATAATGCCTTATATCATCAATTGCTTCACCATTCTCAAGATCCTACTTAATTGTAGAGTCCATAGGCGTATCAATTGGATGTGCACAAAGAGTACCAGTTTAAGATATACTTTTGCTGACACAGGTTAATATCTTCCTTTGATCGAGCAACCTCAATCCTTAGGAAGTATTGAAGAAGGCTCGTGTTTTTGACATGCTAAAAAGTGGAAGCATGAGGAGAGCCGATGCAAAGAGACAAAATTAGAGATGAGATGTTGAGTACAAGGAAGAGTACGTTTTTGAAGTTCATTTAGCAAATTAGAAGAGGATGATATAGTAGGTATTTCAAAAGTAAGGACCTCGATAGAATCAGGTGTTGGCCGGGGCGCTAGAGCATATGGAATAACCTATGCGCTATGCAATGGTGACGATATAACTATCAAATTTTATTCATTAAGAAAATGGGCTTAAATCCATGTTTTCTAATTCTAGTAGATGTTCTATTTTCCTAATAATATAGTGTTTGAGGATTTTTCGTTTGTTCAGTGTGTTTTTGCAGAAATAATAATTCTTTAATGGCAATAAATATTAGTCAGTTAGATTTGTAATCTAAGGCATAATATGGAATGTTATGCATAGTTATTGTTACTTTTTCATGTCTCTTATTCTCCTTTGACCTAATAAATGAATATCTATTTTACAGCTGAGTTGACTTTTTTGGTATTGACTCAGGGACTGAGCTAAAGAGAGATGAATTAGAACAACTTGTGATAAAGCTTATAGTAGATCACGTTTTGGTAAGGACCTCACTCTTCCAACATTTGATTTATGAGCCCAAAGTTGCATATCCTCGCAAACTGTGTCCATGTTTTTATGCTAATACTTAGTTTGCTTTCAAAGTGTGGAATGCAAAATTTTAATTTCTCAAGTCTATAAAGCCCATTAATAACATAAAGGGGTATGGTATCCTCCAATTCCTACCAAGGAAAAATATACGATTAGAATGACCGATTTCAAGTTTTACCTAAGAAAGCGGTTTTTATGAAGAAGAGTGATAGGGAAGATGAGAGGAATTATTAGTGCTTGTACACTTTGTTTGTAAGAAGTGGGTTATTATTAACTACAGTGGTCCACTAGTTTGAAAAGTCATAGTAGAGTACCAGACATAAGATTACTTATCATGAAATAATAATGCACTTCGTGTGCTACATAAATATGCATATCCATACATACATATATCATATATATGTAAAGAAACTTCATAGAAATATGAAAGAGATAGGTATGCCTAGTTACTTTATTCTATGGATAAAGAATCTACTTGATATAGAAAGCACGTGCATACATCCCATATATATGTGTGTATGTGTATGTTGAAAAATAAACTTGTTTTAAAGTTTTATTATATTATTAAGTTGTGTTAATTTGGTGTGTGTTAGTGGGCAAAGAATATACACAAGTAGTGGAAGTAGAGCATTAGTGAGTGTTATTACCCCAAGTAATTGAGAAATTGACATCTTAATATTTTAGGAGTTTCAAGAGTTAGCGGATGTAGTGGCATATTAATACATATAGTTTAGTGTAAGAAGTAGAGTTGAGAAGAATATGTGAAGTGTCAAAGTTGAGTGTGAGTTGTAATCAACTTGAATAATTTTTTTTAGTTATTTCCATTTTCCTCCTCTACTTAATTCTATTTTTTTTCTAACCCTGTTGATTCAATCAAAGTAGTATCAGAGTGATTTTCCAATCAAAGTAACATTTGAGCAATTCAAATAAATTGGTATCAGAGCCAATTTTACGATCCTGGAAGTCTATATAATTCGCTTTTAGACCTAATTTGATGACCGTTGAAGTTTAGATAACTCACTGTTACAGCCTCATTGCAGTTATGAAGATCATGGAAGATTCACTAAATATCTATTTTTGGTGTGACAAGATGTTCTTTAATTGTAAGAGAATTGCAAGAGAAGGATTTGAAGTTATAAAATCAAGTTTAAGGAAATTAAATTTATTTTAGAATTTTATCATATTATTAAGGTGTCTTAATTTAGTGTGTGTTAGTGGGTAAGAAATAGCCAAGTAGTGGAAAACAAGAGTATTAGTAGTTGTTAATTCCCCAAGTAATGGAGAGAGTTGTCTTAATATTTTAGGAGTTACAAGAGTTAGTGTAGGTAGTGACATATTAATTCATAGTTATGAGTATGCGTGATATCTATATAAATAAGACTAGGTTTGTCAAAATTTACCACGATACGATTAACCGACACAAATTAAGCGGGTTTGGGTGAGACCTTAACGGATTCGAGTGATAAACGGGTTAATCTGTTAAACACGTTTAATAAACTGGTCGTATTCGGGTGAGACCTATCAACTCGTTTATCACCCGTTTAAAAATTTAATATTATAAAAAATTAATTACTATTTAAAAAAATTTAGTCAAAAATATTGGAAGCTGGGGTCTGAGCATTGTTGGAGACTACGGTGGTGCTTAGTCAAAATGTTGGAGGCTGCGGTGGTGCTGGGGTGAACACAGTCTTGGTTTGAGCATGGTTTGAGTTTTAGGTGGTGTATGATATTCTTGATGTTACAGAGTCTTATTGTGGGTCTGCACAGTGAACACAGTGAAAGCTTTTGGTTTGAATCCCACATTGACAAATTTAAATGAAGGAGATCTCTTATGCCTATAAAAGGTTGTAGCCCCTTTCTTTAGTCATTCAACCTTCTCACTTGCTTTTACAAGTGGCAGTCAACTAGAAATCTTTTAATTGAGAGTTCAGTTGTTGCGAGTAATTAATGGAGTTTAAAATTTTAATAGAATAGTTTTTTGGTGTGGGTTAAAATTTTAATAAAATTAAACGTGTTAAACGAGTCGTGTCGTGTTACCCGTTTATTAAACGGTTCGTGTTCGTGTTTAAGTTTTTTATCCGTTTATTAAATATGTCGTGTATGTGTTTATATATTTTTCACCTATCACCCGTTTAACCTGACACGTAACCGTTTAACCCGACATGTTTTACACCCCTAAATAAGACATATAGTCTAGTGTAAGAAGTAAAGTTAAGAAAAGTATTTGAAGAGTCCAAGTTGAGTGTAAGTTGTAATCAACTTGAATAATTTTTTTTAGTTGTTTCGTCCTCTACTTCTTCCATTTCATTTCTAATCATTTTGACTCCAACAAAGTGGTATCAGAGTGATTTTTCAATCAAAGTAACAGTGGAGTGATTCCAATGTGTGTGTGTGTGTGTATGGATATGTATAAATATAAAATATAATGTATAAAGCACAATTAGTTGTAGTGTGTTCTAACTGTGTACATGTTGTGTCTCATTTATATCCTGTGTCCAAACTAGTGCCTCATGGATCATACTACATGAGTGATACTCCTTATCTGTGATAACTGATTTTTGCCTCCTGATTAATGCATACAATGAAATTTCTTGATATGGTTTTGTGTGGCTTTTTTCATGTATTAGCACCTTCATTTTTGTGCAGAAAGAAGAATTTCAGCATACAGCTTATGCTACAAATGCTTATGTGACTATAGGACCACTTGCTAAGCAAGTAACGCAAGGTAATGTTTCTCTTTTGAAAGATCGTTAGTTTAGAAACTCTGGAAATCTTGATGATTGCTGGTAGTTTGTGGAATGCAGTTGTTAGCACACACATGATTGGTAATTTAGCTAATTACAGCTGAAGGTACAGTGCAAATCAGGCAAGCAGACACTTGTCCAGTATAATCGTTTTGTAGATTTTTCATGCTATGGACTTGTGTACATACACTTTTATGAGTCTGCCGGACATCCTATGAAATAATGATATTGTTAAGGTCGACATATCCTTTCCGGATACAGTATCGGACTCGAGGATACATATCAGATACACACCATATATCTCCGGTTATAATAAAATATTTGGATACTTTGCCGATATATATCGACAATGCGTATGCTTCAGATATTAAAGTGCATAAGTAGAGCAATATGTATTTTTTAAAAAAATTTTAAACTGTCTTTTCCTTTTGAATTCACATAAAATGCAACACTTGAAGAAAAAATTCATACAAATTTTAAGATACGTGATTTTTTCTCAAGTATTATCTATTATCACTTATCAAAAGAGTATAAAATGAACTAATTACACCACATATCTTGATAATAAGAATTCCTAACCAAGCCAACTAGTTAAATCTTAGTACTAATTTGTCTAATTAGTCACATTCACTTTATATACTATAATGAGATGATCAATACTTTCTTGAAAGTTAAAATTACTAATTTTTGTATTATTTTTGAAGAAGTTATTAGAAATTATAATTACGAAGTTGTTCGAAAATAGTAAAAATATAAACTAAAATTTAGTGTATCTGCATCCTAATTTTTTTTTTATTTTCCATATTGCATACAATACAGTTCACAGATGGATTAGATCACCACCACTGCAGTGCTTCATATGTATTCTTGGATCAGTTGGAAATACTTTTACTCTGGAGTAGGACCGATATAATGCTTTGCAGTGTCCTGCAAGTTCTTATTTTTGACAGAATGATGTGAATGCTTTCAAATCTTCGGCACTCATTCAGTGTCTTGTTTTACATAAGATGCATAGACAGATGTTGACCTACAATGAATATATCTTTTCAACAATTGTACTCTATCAATGGGTTTAACATGATCCACTATTCACTCCTGTCAACCTGTCTACCTTATAACTTTAGATCAATCATCCAATCTAGTTTGTTATAAGGTCTGGTTTATAAGTGGAAGGACTTTTACCGTACGTTGACATCCATGCAAGGAGTAAGAATGATGAGGGATGTGAACTACCTAGATTTTACTATTAGTTGGCCATCCTTCTAAAAGTGTCCACTAAACTGGAATTTTGCTTTCCTACCAACTACCAAGCCTACATTTTTGGCATATTTTGTTGTGTCTGTTGTGCATTTACTGTTGTAGTAACTCCCATTCTGACACTCAGGAAAGAAGATTGTTAAGGTTGAGGTTTGTAGCAGCCCGAAGAATAACCATGGCGCCATGAAATCTTCCAAACGAAGTAGATCTTCGGGGTTGGAGTTTAAGCTTGATGAGCTGCGCAAGGAATTCTCTTCTAGTCATGGTGGAATATTTCCTCATTCTGTATTGTCTACTTGCCAGATCCGCATACTGGGTGCTCAGAAACCAATGTTGATGGAAGAGGTGCATCCCCAATAACTTGATCATTTTGTTAACAAGGTCACTACTGAAGGCAATCAGAATAGGATTGAATGAAACTTTGTAGTTTTATTAGGTTTATCCTATTTATTATTTCTTGGATTATGGTATTAGGTGCTATTTATTTATTTATTTGAGTATGAGTGTTTTAGTAATTCTAGTAGTAACAGTTTGAACAAAAAAGTAATTTAGGTTTTGGTAAGAGAGTGGATTATAAATATCGGTGAAACTTATGTTTTACCTGAGTGAAATTTAATTAGAATTTGATGGAGTATTTGTGTGTTTCTTCACCTATTCCTTGCAAGCGTGAGTAAATCTTTCAATTTTTTTTTTTCCTTCTATTTTCTGTTCTCCTTCCCTTTTCCCTTCTTAAAATACATCAACTACCCTTCTTTTGGCAATCTCTCTCAACAATGTTGTCAGAAGGGAGACCCTTAATAGAATTTATCAAAAGTGCCATATTTTCCTCAATCAGAGCTATTAGGTTAGCTTGTTACAATCTCTATGTTTACCAGTTAAAATATTAACTCATGCTAAGTGTTGTCTTACGTGTGTTGCTGCCATAGGAATTCATCACATGCTTACATTTAATCTGCTGCAAATATTATGAGCATAAAACTACCGTAATCTCTTATTCCTGAACGATAGCAGTTGTTTGTCATCCAGCTATAACTCAAATTTTTTTTCTGTTTCTCGCAGTTGGAGAAGATTATAGGAAAGTTGAAAACACAGAAATATGGGAGCAGAATTCTTGAAGAAATTGTGAATTATGAGTCCAAACATCACTGTGACAATGATATTGTGGATGAAGGACAAGTCAGTGGAAGCGGAGCCTCAGAAATGTTAAGAAGCAAAAAAGCTCTTATTGTCATCGACAGTAGTGGAGATGAAGAATGAAAAATAATAGGATATTACTTCTCCACTGAAGCCTCAAAATCTTGTAGAAGATGACTACCATGTACGAAGAAGATGACTACCAGTATAAAAACAGAGTTCCCTGAAACTTTACGGAAACAGATGTTCTCCTTGTGCTTTATTTCTCAGGATGAATTACGACTTTTAAAAGATTTTGAAACTCACTTTGCCCTCAAATATTAGAAGTTGTGATACACCTGGGCTTTGTTTAAATGGCAGCAATGTGTCCCAAGAATAATACATTTTTATTTTTTCCATGCGTGTATGTGTTGTGTGAAGGGACTGAAAAACAAACAACATTAGATCAAAGAAAAAAAAAACAAACAACTTATTGTTTTCTGGAGCGAACTGTTACCATTTTAAAAAAATTCAGTTCCCTTCCCTTCCCCATTCCAGGAGACCTTGGCGGAGGAGTAAATATTCAATATAAGAATGGTTTAACATATGCATTTATTCATCCGAACTCAGCATGCGTACATCCAACAAAATTGAAAGTCGATAGATGTTAGTTTCCCTAAGACAGACAGAGGAGATGAATGGGTTTTCTAAAACTATTTAGAAAATAAGTCACTAATTAAAATTAATTGATCTAATCCACAATCTTCGGGGGATTGTATAATTAGTCAGTTAATCTCAAAGTTGTGATAGGCAAACAAAATTGCATAAAGCAATAACCTCCGACCGAGCTACCAACTCGAGCATGTAGGCGGCTATTAATTGATCAGTTAATCATATGTTCAAGTCTCTGCAGGGGTTCCGGGAAACCAAAAATTCAATGATGAGGAGTTGTACCTGAACATTGGATCGCAATTAAGAGGCAATCAACTATCTATAAGGTTACTTCTTTTGCAGTTTAGTGATGGTAGCTGTATTGGCATATTTACGTTGTCATAGGAGTCGATTCTTGAGTACATTGGGTCAAGTGTATTTATATTGAAACTAAAGTTGAATTGTGGAAGATGAATTGAAAAATACAAATTTGGAATCCATCAATTTGGTTTAGTTAGTTGACCTTGATACTTGAAGAGGCGGAGAATAACTGTGCATGATTATACATTTAATTGTTTGAAATAGTACATACAAGCACATGACAAAGGTCATGTGGCCAACCATATGATGACGGATCTTGAATCACCCAGCAGGTCGGTAAAGCATACTAAACCACAGAACCGAACTAACCATTGGCTATTCGGATTACAAAGATATCGTGATTAGCTGAGCTGAACAAAACGAATAAGAGCCACAATCAACCTAGCAGTTATTAGAAGTGCTCGGTAAAGTAAGTCGAACTGTTAGCCTAACCGAGCTATAGCCAAGGCTGAGCAGTAAGAATGGTTGGGGCTCTATTCAGAGCTACCCTATAATAAAGATAGTTTGGCTATTCTAAAGAATCAGAGGCAATGACGAACTGATAAGGAAGTTGTCCAAATCATAGGTGAAACATTATCATGAGTCCTAAGAAATAAATGAATGAGAAAAAACGTGGAAAGATACTCCAACATCAATGAAGGATTATCCTGCTAAAGAATAGGTATGCCACCTAGTATATCGAACAGCGAAACCCCTAGAAGAAAAGGTGTCATGTGATATTATAAATACTGGGTAATGCTTGAGTCAGAGGTACGCACTCGCTTCTCTATTATTTTGCCTGTTCATTGCTAGAGTCATTACTGACTTAAGCATTGGAGTGCCTCCGACCAGTGTAACCTTAACCTCTAATTGCTCGTTTTGCAGGAGGAACGGTGCAATCTTTGTTCGGTTTTCCCAATCCAATCCTAACCCGCTACATTAAGATATTTTTTTCTCTTACAGTTGACGTCGTTTGTGGGAATGATGAGTGCGTAATATTGCATATTTAATGACTTCATTACATGTATTTTAACTCAACTTTGCATTTAATTACTTAGAGTTCGTCAAATTTGTGAATAATGTGAAACTTTTGATGTTGCAGGTAATCATAGAGTAATTGATGGCTTTCGAAACCCTTCAACTAAGTTTGGATGAGTGGTGAAGAGATGGACACATTACATGAGGATTTGGAAGCATAAAAGTGAAAGAAATCAAGGAGGTATCGGTACCTGGTAACATAGTTACTAGCACCCACACCATTGTTATCAGTACCTTGGTATTCCCCATTTCTTACCATGATCTACTTCGAATCTGAAAAAGTGAAAAACATAAAAGTTGTAGATCTGGATATCCTTTGTCTTGTGTCAAAATTGTAGCTCAATCTAAAGTTATGACAAATTTACGACGGTGGGATCAAAAGTTATGACAAATTTACGAAAAGACCTACCGGTAGAAGACATGCAAGACCTACCGGTAGAAGACCCTACTAGAAGTTTTCTAGCGGTTGAAGTCCTACGTTCTTCCTGTAGAACATGCCCAAAAAGCATAGATACTTCCCCACATGACTCCACCAACTTAGGGGGCCCACCTCTTGTCCTCTAAACCATAACCTGACATGTTTTAACACCCCATAATGCTCTCTTAACCCCTAAATTCAGATTTGAAGTAAGAGAGATGGGAGAAGCAAGAGAGAGAAGAAGGGTGGTTGGAAGAGCATGGGAGAACCATGCTTTGACAGACTTTGGAAGCTTTTTTGGACAATCTCTGCCCACAATCAATCTAAGTCAACCACTCATGCTAAGAGAGAAGGGGATAAACAAAAATAAAGAGCTCTCCTACACACATTTTGAGATGATCAAGCTTTTAGAAAGAGAAGGAAGCTACCTAAGCATAGGAGTAGTGTAGAGAGAGAAAGCTAGGATTCTTGCTTTTCCTTCACCATTTTCATTCTTGTAAGCTTCAATCTACATGTAATCTTTCTTTCTAGCACTTTAATCTCATTTATTTCAAGTTGTATTGAGTATAGCTAGGGTTTACTAGTTTTATTGCTTGTATTGGGTATTTTTTCTTTAAGCTTTACATTTTGTGTATGAATGCTATTTCTTTTGTAGTTTGAACTTCTCCTTACATTAATGCAAGTTCATGTTTGATTTCTTTATCATGTTTTTTTGTTTCATGTTTGTTGTTGCCTTTACCATGCATAGCTAAACCTTTAGTTGGCTAATCCAAGAAGGATTTCCTATTGGGTATGTGAAATTGACTCTCTTTCATTCTCCCTCGTAGTGTAAAATTTTTGGTTTGACTAGTGCGGACGTGGTTATTGGTTGAATGAAATGAGTCGATTTGACATACGCATTGGAATGAGCTCTATGGATTAGTCAACCCTCTTTTTACTTGCATATTTCTCAAAACACAAATCACCAAACTTCAAATCACAATAATTTTTATTTTTTCATTTCACAAATCACTTTTGAAAACACTTGTCCTTTCCTTCCCTGAGGAGATGACCTTGGAATACTCGTTCCAAGTAAAACACAACATTGCAAGTTTCTCTACACTTGGGGAGCACTTTTGCACACATACATTTTTGTTCACACACACGATTTTCTCATTTCTTGCATGGAGCCCGAGGAAGAGTGATACTCACCAACTTCTACACAAAGTCTGAGTTCGTGTTTGGAGATTAGGGAAAATCATCCAAGCATTTTTTGCGTCGTGTCAAGTTTGGAAGGTGATTTGGGACGACAGAGGTAAGTCTAGTGATTTTCATCACGGGCCAAGGTATGTCATCTCGATTGTAAATAGTTTTTTGTTGTTTGTGTTTTATGTAATGTTTCGTAATTTTTATGAAAATGTGTTAAATGTCCCAAATTTTGAAAATGTGAGCGACATTTGTGATGAGTATGAGCACATCACTAGTGAGTGCCCTTTAAATTATACGGTTTAAGACTTTGGATGTGAATGATCAATTTCAATACTGGGCCCTGAAAATTTTTACCCCGATCATTATGTTGTAACTAGTTATCCGAGTTGTGGTTGGGAGAACGAACCTTATAATTTTTCATCCAATCTCACACTACCAAATGAATTTTGCCACTATCCAACATATGAGGACTGAATCGAACAAGAATTGAAAAATACTCTTTGCAAGTTTATGCTATACCAAATGGAAGTCAATGCCTAACAAGCCCAACAGTTTTCAAAAATTAGAGATGACCTTATAGCATTAACTAATGCTATAATTACTATGCGTGAAGAACATCTTGAGCATAGTCAATGTATTGAGGATGATCATTTCTATGGAATGCAAATAGATGTTGAATCTCCAATTTTGATTTTAAAAAATTTATTGAAGGTATTTGTAAACCCCACCCTTTTATCTTTATATATGTATGTAGGTTTATGTAGCAAGTTATTATTTCTTTTGCAAATGTTAATGTGGAAATTCGAGGAAATAGTAGTTAAAACTTAGTTTAGCTTGCAAATATATGAAATCGTTGTAATAGAACTTGTACCAACTAGGTTTGAGGTACAAAAGCATGTTGAATAAACTTGGGTTGGATTTGGAAAGGTTTGGAATGAGTTTGAAATGAAAAATAGAGGAAATAGGCAAATTTGGACAGGACCTATCGGTAGTACGCTGTCCAGTAGATTCGAACTACCGGTAGTCAACAGGTAGTCAGTGGCGAGTGGATCCGAACTACCGGTAGTCAACAGGTAGTAAATGTCCAGTAGTTCCGAATTACTAGTAGCTCAACAGGTAGCAGGTTGCCAGTGTATCCGAACTACTGGTAGCTCGATACGAACTACCGATAGATAGTTAAAAAGTCGGGATTTTCTGCTTTTAAAACCCCATTTCCACTACATTTACTCCCATTCTTTCACACCACTCACTCCACACCTCTTAGAACCCTAATAGAAAGACTTAGAGAGGAAGAAAGAAGGGGAGAACAAGAGTTCTAAAGAGGATTAAAGATCAAACCTAGCTTCTCCAAGAACATCAAGGTAGGGGTTTTCTCTGAGCCTCATTAAGTGTTTTGCTAGCATAGTATATCACATATGGTCTATTTTCGTCCCTTTGACCGAGCACTGCGCCGACCGCGTAATCACTGGCGTCGCACATAAGCTCAAAAGGTAGATCCCAATTGGGTGGTCGCATGATCGGAGGTGTGACTAGCATGCTTTTAAGTTTTTTATAGGATGCCTCACAATCATCCGACCACTCAAATGGGACCTCTTTAGACAGCAGGTTGGTCAAGGGTCGGGCCAATGTATTGAAATTCTTTATGAATCGACGATAAAAACCTGCATGGCCCAAAAATGACCGGATGCCTTTGATAGCTCTTGGCGTAGGGAGGTTGGAGATGGCCTCCACCTTGGATTTATCGACTTCAATACCCCTTGCCGAAATTATGTGGCCAAGCACAATTCCTTCTGTCACCATAAAATGACACTTTTTCCAATTCAAGACTAAGTTCTTCTTCTCACATCTTG